AAGTGCCACTGCCACCATTTTTAAGTGAAGGGACAATTTTAGGAGTGGAGCCGAGTGAGACGAGGGCAGATGTGAGCTGCCCATTGTGGGCTGGGGACTTTTCAGCCTGCTGCCTTTGCCCTGGGAGCCACATGCTGGCCATGCCACATCCCCAGCCTGTCTGTTGGTGGGAGGCACAACTCGCCACCCCTACTGCTGCTGGGTGGGCAGGGGGAGCAATGCAGCCAATGCGTGGCTCCTAGGGCATGCAGCAGCAGGGCAGCCAGTTCTGAGCCCACCTCTCAGCCCTCCTCTGCTCCTCTGTTCTGCGCCTAAATCTAGGAGGGCATGTGTCCTCCCCCAAGGGAGGTGCAAGCTGCCCCCCCCTCCATTCTCACTCCCCCCGTGCCCTTTGGACGTGCCACCCACAGCTGTCCTGCTCTGGCCCCAGGGTCCCATTCACTACCCTGGCTGGGCAGCATCCCCAGCCCCAGCCCCACTCCCTCAACATAGGGGCCTCAATCTGCACCCCCCCACACACCCCTTCCCCTTCATAGACTTACCAGCAGGGTGCTGCTCTGCATACTGCCGGACTGCATTCCTGGCCACCTGCAGCTGCATGCATGCACATGGCATCTGAGGGCCCTGGCCATAAGGCTTATTGCATTTATCAATACATTATCAACCTGATAGCTGATAATGTTAATTTTCCTTTTATCAGTGCTGATCCAATATGGCACTGATATATTGGTGCACCTCTACTAATTAGCTAGTTTAGAAATACCAGAGTATTATTCTGAATATGCCTGCTATGCATTAACAGTGAGAAGTTTCATGTTTTTGCTTAAAACCATTACAAGAAGAAACCCATGCCACCCCCCACCCCACCCCCGCACAGGCTTTTATGCCCCAGGCTCTGCACACCCCTACAGACGACTCTAACTGTCCATGTGTGGCAAAAGACAACAGGTGCTTATTGTATTTATAAGTGCTGTGGATGCACCTTTCAATATCTGGATCCTCCAACTTCCAAGGCAGCTGTTCATTTGGAGGCCACTACCCTTTCAGCATCGTAACAGTTGCAATCCACAACTCACCCTGAAAAAGCCCTCCTTCACAGCATGCAATTTGCTCTCCCAGCAATGTATTTATTTATCCTCAGTGCCCCAAGAATGCCCTCCCACTGTTAATTTGGTCTGTCATGCTCAGGCACAGCACTCAAGCCCCTGGACTCATCAGGACCTCCAAACTATCACCTCTGTCTCTTCAACTGAGAAATGCAAGAGGCAGGCAGCTTCTTCTACTTTGAGCTACTGACTACATAATAACTTTTAACACTACTTTGTAAGGCAACTAAACAAGATGCGGCTGCAAGTAGATCTTGTTTTTTGTTTTTTTTAAGTAGGCAAAGGTCACTGGATCAAACGGGTATAAATATGCACATGCCAGTTATTGTTAGGTGTGCAGAAACCCACGTTTGATGCAGATGCAAGTGTCCTGGATCTCTAGGAGAGGAAGGAACACAAAACTGACATAAAAAAGTGAGTACTTTATGGCTGAAAGTCTAAGGCCTTATTTATCCATGTGACAAAATACCTTGTGGCTAGAAGCCCTAGGAGAAGCATTTCTTGCAATGAGAAATTGTAGATAAAATCCATATTATTTGGACCTACCTAAACAGAGCTGTTCCTACAAGCAATCCATGACCCTTCTCTCTATACTTTGGAAGATATCTGCTGCTCCCTGTTTCTGTCCCATTCCAGAAGGTCTAAATGTTACTCTGGACTGCAAACAGGTGAAGGTCCGAGATATATGTTAACTAAATAAAGTGCAGATCCATGTAGGTATCACCCAATACAGGACAATAGCATGTCCTGTCATTAGGGATAATCAGCATGAGAAATAAAAGAAGAGAAAAGTACAGGGAAATAGTTATTTATAGGAAAGAAGGGCTTGTGTTGGACAGATGTCTATATCTTTGCACTGAAATCTGTCTATGGTGACAGATTTCCCTCCAGTGATCCAGAGAGGGATCATACAGCTTGACTGAAGGATCAGCCACAGTGACAAAGTTACCCAGTCTAGGGGTATGCCAATCCTGGAGGGGGAGGAAAAATGGAAGATTGTATCTATGCAAGAGTGCCATGTGGATCTACAATGGTCTCCCAACTGTAGCCC